CGCGAGATCGCGACCTGGCTGAAGTCGGACGCTTAACCGACTGCGCCACCCAGGCGCCCCTACTTTAGCCATATTTAAAAGATACAAGCTATTTTACATGCGGTAAGTACATTTTCCATTAAAACATAGTAAAAGGACCAGCATCACCAGCTATAGCAATATGGTATAACTTCCATATCTACATATACAGAAAAAAAAAGGAAATCCAATTTCCATTTTAATTTGGAAAGAGACAGGAGTAAAAGGCAGATGAAAAACATGCTAAAGGCAACTTCCATCTTCAGCTACTAGAACGTATGATGATGGTGTGCGTAAAACAGTTCACTAATAATCTAATGAAAACCGTCCTGCCCTACTCCTTTTACAAATGCACTGTAATGGTCACGTGAACAGCCTGGCCATTGGGTGCAGCCATGTGACTAAGTTCTCATCAGTGGAATAGCAGTGAAAGTGATAGATCTCACTTTCGGACTGGTGCCTGGACCTCCTTCTGGAACCTAGACCTGCCAGCTAGAACCTAGATGTGGTTGTGACTTAGCTGGATCATGTACACAATATCCTGGAGCAGCAGCGTCCAGTGAAACTTTTAATATGCAAATATGAAAATATGCAGCAGTGGAAATTTCTACGTCTGTCCTGCCCAATACAGAAGTCACTAACCATATGTGACTACCGAGCACTTCAATGTGGCTAACAGGAGTGAAAAGCTGAATTTTAAATGTTATTTAATTTTACTTAAGTTTAAATGGTCACATAGGACTAGTAGCTCCTGTACTGGATGGTACAGTGATAGAACTACTCTGCTGGCTGGGTTCCAAGAGGATTCATGGAGTAAAGCTTGCCTATCTCCCCTGGACTGTTAACCGGAAAAGAAACTTGTATCTCACTGAGCCGTTGCATTTTTGAGTTTTTAATCGTCTTTGCTCTAATACAATAATCTTAATATGTGAAATGACTTAAAAAAAAAAAGTGAAACTACCAATAATGAATACCTCTGGGGAAGGAAGTAGAACTGGTAAGAGGTACATAGAGTTGGCTTTACTTTTAATTCTATACACTTCTGTTTAGTTTGAAATTTTTTCACTTTATTTTTTATAAGAACTTTTTATGACTTAGTGTTTGTTCAGTAACACGACAAACACAAAAATAATAAAACTAACAATAAAGACATGTTTTCTCAATCTTTCTGTATTGCTCTGTAGAAAATTTTAGAAGCTAAGTTTAGTTACATTACTTTAAAAGAAGTAGTGTGTGCATTCTAAGATTAAAAAGAATTATGCTGGTGATGAACTTCATTGTATACTATTTCACATACATGAGCTCCCCAAGGGCAATCTGTGTGTGTAAAAGGTCTTTGTATTCACCCCCTGTCCTGTACTGCCTAATTAGGCTGCTTTGCACATGATGGGTAAATACTATCTGAATGAGTACCACATTAAAACTGGAAAACATTAAAAACAAAAGTACTGTCCAAGATCTAGTAAGTTCATGTCTGCCACTGCTCTAATTAAACCTGTTCCTAATGGAAAGGAGTCCGCAGTACCTCTGGTATCTGTCCCACTTCTCAGGTCAGGCTGAGATGCTCTTTGTTCCTTGACTCCATCTAATCGCTGCTGTAGTTCTTCTGATGTTATTTCTCCTAAAAACAATAAAAAATTGCTCAGTGAAACTAAATACCTTAAATGATTGTTTTATGAGAACTCGTGAAGGGTAAGACTAATAATCTTCAGCGATCTGCAAAAGACATTGTTATTTTCATGGTCTGTTACATTGAAAGACAGTTAAAAATATTTAATTGATGCAAGTATACATCATTTTGGTTGTGTTTTATTAAAATAAAAATAGGATTTAATTTGAATACTTTTTTAAAAATCCTCTCAGTTGATACACTTAGGAATCTAGAAGCCCTAATTCGTAGATTTTTATTAGAGTTAAGAGGAATTTAAAGGGAAGTATTTCTAGGAAAAACTCTGAATCTTTATCTGCTTGAATGTTACCTCAACAGGTCATTATATCAGTCATCAATATACAGCGCGCAAATATGCAATATACAAATATATCCTGTACAAACATACAAGTTTCAATTAGTTCATTTCTGAAATAAATTTGTAAAAGACTTATGGAACACACTAGACTTTTGAAGCATTATTAATTCAGCTAAGTAAATAAATAAATTATAACACCTGAAATTATTTTTTTTTTTAATGTTCATTTATTTTTGAGAGAGAGACAGAGACCAAGCGGGGGAGGGGCAGAGAGAGAGTAGACACAGAATGTGAAGCAGGCTCCAGGCTCTGAGTTGTCAGCACAGAGCCCGACACGGGGCTCGAACTCACAGCCCACGAGATTGTTACCTAAGCCAAAGTTGGACACTCAACCAACGGTGCCACCCAGGCGCCCCAGAACTTGGTTTTTAAAAATATCTAATTTACAACTATTACTTAAAAGAGAAACAGGGCCATATATGTAAAAAATTGACACTATTATGTACATTTGTGAGCTCCATGTCTAAGATTCATACTTATCAAAAAAAGAAGCCAGTGATTTTCTGTTTTGTCATATTACAAGGTTCTTAAATTCACAAAAATAGTGCCTTATATTTTGGGAGAGGGAAGAAGGGGGGGAAACACCCTCCTTATTTTGAAACTCCTCCTTACTATAATAAAAAAAGGTGTCTCCTCTTTTACCCATATCTTACCAGGGGTGCCTAAAAGATTGTGGTCTCTCATTAGCCTGTAATCTTCATCATTGAGTTCATTAATAAACTGATAATAGGCTTCTTCTCTGTGGAGACGCTCTTGCTGCCATCTTCTCTCACTTTCACGATGATTATGGTCTTGAGATGAGGCTTCTTCACTACCATCGTCCGATCTCGATCTAGACGGATTCATACTGAGATTCCTGGCTTTCTGTTCAAACAAGATGTACAAGATCCAGGCTGTTAGTCATGGACTACACAGAGCTTCGTGTTTTTGACTTACAGTCGCTTTACTTTCAGTTTAAATTTCGTCCCCTGCTCATATATTTCACATGCCAAATCTTGCAGTGGAGAACTCACACATGAAACGAAAAGCGGCTTCTAGGAGACAGAACACAACTGGACCTACTTCTTTGCTTAAAGCCGCTACTTAAAGCAGACTGGATTTGGTTTTACCACGCATTTCTCACAGCTGAACACCAAAGTGCTTCTCTCATTTTTCTGCCTCCTTCACTCTCTGATAAAGTTGATCTAAAACCCTCACTGATAGTTCGAATATCTGGGTACTTCATGTTAGCATACAAAACACAAGCTGAATTATGCACTTTATGCATGATTTTAAATTGTTTTTTACTTAATAAGCACAGAGCTATTGGGAGGCTATCGTCTACATTTATTTCCAGCAAAGGTATTCTCCCCCAAATAAAACTCACATTATGTAATATTACCCTCCACTGCACTTTGTTAGGTAGAAATAATTTGGCCTACTGTATCTACTGAACAGACTTGGCAGCTGGTCTGTTAAACCTAACAGGAAACACCACACGCTTGCTCTGAGGACTGTGAATGTCTATCAGAGCACCCTGTGTCTCCCCACAGCAAACCTCCTCCTCAGGCCTGGTTAGTCCCAGAGGTTTCTGAGTGCCCCTGAAACTTCCTGACCTTGCCTAGGCAAACCCTATTTTTTTTTTTTATTATACTCAAGTGTCATTCCTTAGAGGCTTACTTTTCCACAGAAAAGAAACCAATGATGAAAATTGTTTCACAAATACCTTAGAATTTCTTAAACGCATCTATTTAGCAAGTCAACGGCTCTCACCTGGGAAGGCACATCAAACTCATTTGAGGAAATTCTTAAAAATACAGATGCCCTAGATCTCATCTCGAATCCCAGATCAGAATTTTCCAAGGTAGGGCCCAGGTCTACCTTTAAAAGCTAATTTGGGCGTGCTGTGGAAGGAAATAAACTATTCCTTGACAATTTCTAGGTGTCAATAAAGGGTGTGTGTGATTATAGCACATGACATAATGGAGGCTGGAGGATCAAATAACTAGGTGACCAGAGAAGCAACGGCTGCGCCTCTGACTCAGTGTTTAATAAGCAAACTACTTTAAATACAAAGTAAGTTAGTCTACAAGTCTGAACTATGTGTAAGTATCCAGTTTCATGTACATTCTAACATTAAGTTCCAAATTTGGGGATTTTATTACAGTGACTATTATGTCCTTTTTTAAAGGAAAGATCGAATGACACTACCCAATCAAAAGCAAATTAACGTTACTAAAAACTCAAGGTTTCCATTTTCAGAATCACGACAAGGCCATCATTAGCAAAGAGCACGTGTGCTAGGGAGAGCAGTAATAAAATTTTTGTACTAAACATTTAAAAAATTTGAAACCCATCATAAAAACCAAGCTACCCTGACAATCACTCAAAACTTTAAGAGCTTCTTCTCGCAGGTAATTTTCTTGCACGATTAACCACAACTAAACAAAGTGAATACCTTATTTTCCTTTCAACATGCTTTCAATACACGCAGTGGTGTCCATCCTTCCATTGTTTGTGCTTTTTTGGAGCGCTGCCCATCTGGAGCAATAAGAGAGAATTCAATCATTCAATAAATGGTCTCTTTGAAGGACGGGAATGGCTAACAAAGTCAAAGCTCTGCTGCAAAGTCAAAGCAAAACCTTCAGTGGATCCTGTTAGACGCTCGCCTAGAAAATCAGATCCCCCAAACAATTAGGTCATTAAAACCCCCCGCTAGGCCCTTTTCTCTCCCGCAACAGAAACTAGGCCTTCCCTCCCACACGGCCACAGCTCCTGGGATCACAACTCCCCTCTCAAAGGCCTTCCTTCCCACCCTGCTCCCATTCAGATGTTACCAGGGTCAGGTGTCTTCAGTTTACTTCTGAGCCTTCACTTTCTTGCCACCCCCGCCCTCCGTCCCGCTACTGGTTCCTTTCCTGGCCGTTGCGACGCAAGCTCGCGCCGGGGTACGGTTCGCAGTACAGTAAACAAACTGGGCTCAGGGGCCCAACCAACCTCTTCCCTAACGAGCCTCAAGGAACGCTTCCCTTAGCGACCTGGATTCCCACAGGGAGGCAGGTGACAGACGGTGCATCTGAGCCAATCACCAGTTAGGGGAGGGCATTGAGAGAGCAGTTAACCAATCGGAGGAGAGACGGGGGCCAAGGAGGGCTTGCTTTCCTGAGCGTCTCCCGGAAGTAGTGGCCGACCCGGAGCCTTTCCCCGAGCTCACCTCGCCAAAAGCTGGGCAGTCCTCCTGCCCTGAGGAAAGTTCGCGGCGGGCGGCGCTCCTCTCGGGTCCTGGAAGGTTGTGACCGACGGGCGTGGGCGAGAGGGGCTTGTCTCCGGAGGCCGCTGCGCCCTCTAATCGTCTACTGAAGGGAGAAGTCGGAAGCCCGTGCAGCAGCTTGGGGTCGTCCAGATGACGGGGAGGCTCTAGAGGAGGGACACAGGCCCTGGCCCTTCTTTCCCCGCTGCCAGGTCCCTCCTCGGACAAGCGCAGACGCTGCCCCGCCGGCTGGACGCTCGCTGGTGCGACTGAAAATTGTGTCCGGCGGGATCTAGGATGCTAGCGTTCCGCGCGTTCCGCCCCGTCAGGGCTCGCGGCCGGGACTGGTTGTCCCAGGGCCTCCTTCTAGAGTCCAAGTACGGGGCCGCTCAGCGCTCCTGCAGCCTTATAGTCCCAGGGACACATCCTGATTTCCACCCTTGGGAAGTAGTAGCACCTACTCTGCGCCTTGTTGTGGCTCCTTTACGGAGCCTGGCTACAGATTGCAACCCAGCAGTCTGTTCTTGTCCCTTCACTGCCCCGGTAGCACGTAACTAATCAGCCAGGCTCTTCTCTTTATTGCTCACTGGCACCTGGAAACTACCAACCCCGATCATTCTAAAGTGCTTTTATCTGTGTTTCTTCACTTTCCTGCCTGGAATGCACTTGGAAACTCCCTGCATTCATGTCTCTAGCTTTAATGCTGAGATGTGACACTTACCCAAACTCACTTCACCGTTAATTAAGCCCTTGACTGGGACTCTGCCCAGCCTGGTGTAGGCTCCTTTCCTGACCTCCCTACCGTCCAGAAGGCTTAACCATTGCACAGTGCTCACACTGCTATTATTCTTCATTCGTTTGTTCATTAACTAATTCATTCATTCCTGCCTTAACTTTTTTGAAAGTTTATTTATTTAAAAAATATTTTTTTTAATGTTTATTTTTGAGACAGAGACAGAGCATGAACGGGGAGGGGCAGAGAGAGAGGGAGATACAGAATCGGAAGCAGGCTTCAGGCTCTGAGCCGGCAGCCCAGAGCCCACGCGGGGCTCGAACTCACGGACTGCAAGATGGTGACCTGAGCTGAAGTCGGACGCTTAACCGACTGAGGCACCCAGGCACCCCGAAAGTTTATTTATTTTGAGAGAGCACACGCGTGCACAAGGGAGGGGCAGAGAGGGAGAGAGAGAATCCCAAGCAGGCTCTGCGCTGTCAGCGCAGATCCTGCCTCCGGACTCGATCTTGAGAACAGTGAGATCATGACCTGAGCCAAAATCAAGGGTTAGATGCTCAACAGACTGACCCACCCAGGTGCCCCTTGCCTTAACTTTTGAGGAGCTAGCCTATCCCTACCATTAGGCTTAGTGCCTGTGAAGAAGATGTATAGTCTTAAGCATGGGTGAGTTATTGCTTTAGTAGGGGTAAATGGGCCAAGTCAAAAAAAAAATCATATTGTTACAGATACTAAAATGGAAATACATAAACAGCAACGTCTACCAGGCCCTTTGGGATATGTCTGCTGCATACCTCTAGAGAGTGATCTCTTCTTGGCATCCCAGAACTACTTGAAGTTCCTCAACAATCCTCTGGGAACTCCTAAGCAACACCCAAACCCACTTTTACCTAATTTCCTTTCCCAAGACCCAGATCATATCTCATCCTCAAGGTACTTTTTCTGAGACCTCTGAAGTAACACCCTCACTCCAGCATCCAGCCCAGTATTCACACATAAAACTAGACAGATGTCCCTTTGGGGGCTCCCGTAGCTCCCTCTGTATAACTCTACCTTAACTTGTATTCATTTACTTAACAAATACTGGGTGCCATTGTGTATTAGGTGCTAGTGATAACAGCAGGGAATAAGACAAACAAGGTCCTTGCCCCCCTTGTCAGTGAAAAAGCCACTGAGCAAATACGATGATTTTCTGTTAAATTACAGGTCTCCTCCATCTAAGAGTCTAAAATCCTTAAATTTGAACAAATGGTTTTATTCACTTTTATATCCCAGAATTTAGTGTAGCCCCTGACACGCTGTCCTTCGCTTACTGCATGGATGAGCAGAGAAAAATGCGAACTTTCTGCAAACAGGATTAATGCATGTTAGTACAATGACCTCAGAAATTGTGAGTTCGAGTTGGAGAAAGCCACATGTAAGACATCCACAATTTAAGCAGAAGTCATTTTAAGTATCTATATGAGTTTTAAACAGTACTAATCCATCAAGTGTAAATACTTTCAAATGTTAAACTGAAAACACACACATACGTGTGTGTGCATGTGTGTGTGTGTGTATATACACATACACATATATGTGTGTGTGTATATATATATACACGTGTATATATATACACGTGTATATATATATACATGTATATATATATATATATATATATATATATATATATATATATATAACCTAAGAGTCAAAAAATGTAAAATCCTATCAAGTGATTTAGCTGATGGAAAGCTGCAGGTTTCTGTGACCAAATGGGTAGTATATGTAACTTGAATCCAATACCTCACTTCAGTTTTTGTAGCCCAAGACAAAGTAACTCTAAAGGGAGACACAATATGGTAATTGGGACAGAGAGATAAATCATTCTGGACACCTGCGTTC